GTTCCCGCCCCCAGCTGCAGGGTCCTCACCGCCTGGCAGAGCTGTCCCAGCAGCGGGATGAGGCGCAGCAGCTCCTCGTCCTGGGGGTCCCCCCCCCACCTCGGCACCGGGATCCAGTTGGCAGCCTGGGGAGAGAGAGCGAGCGCTGGCCACGGAGGAGCCATTGCGGCCACGATGCTCCCAGGGCCAGTGCAGTGGGGTCAGGCCTCCCCCAAAACACTCCCCAGGGTCACTCCGGGCTCCCCCGACACTAAGGCCAGCGATGCCAGTACCTGGGAGGGAAAGCCCTGGATGGTGTGGTCAAGAGCCACCGTCTTGGCCAGGTCCCGGCTCAGGAGGGACAGGTCCTTCCAGTAGCAGCCCCCCGCACAGAGGCAGTCCCTCTGGGAGAGGCAGTGCCTGGGAGGGGAGATAGAGGCCGTGGGGACCAGTCCCCGCCACGAGGCAGGTTCTCGGGGAGGGGGTCTGCAAGGCCATCACCTGATCACCTTCCTCTTGGGGTCCAGCACATCCAGGACCTTCTCCGCGTAGTCCTGCTTCGCGGTCGTGAAGACGAAGATCTGGGGGGAGAGCAGACGAAGTGTCCTCTCCGCTGGTGGGAAAGTGGGACTCAGCCCCGCAGCATCACTTCAGGCCGGAGCTGGGACCGACCCCAGCACCCAGAGGCCACAGTTTGCAGGATGGAGGATTTACTGCCCTGACTGGGGGCTCCCACACCACCGGTCCCTGCACAGGCTCCCCTGAGCCCTCCCCACCCCAACACAGCAATACCCTCCCTGGCTCTATGCAGAGCCCGGGGGAAATCAGGGTTTGGGGGCTCTGGGTACCTCATAGGTCTTGGAAAGGCTCTCCAGGAACTGCTGCACATGGGGACGCAGCTTCAGGTGAACCTGGAAGGGAGCAGCATCTTCAGGAAGCCCCAGATGGGCCACCGGCACCCCAGGTCCCAACACCTGGGTCCTCCTTCCCCTCCAGCTGGATGGGAGGACACAGGCAGAGACCACAGGGCTCCTCATTGCCAGCCAGCAGCCCCAA